CTTGCTAACACAGCACTGTATTACGCGGGCGCCAAAAAGAAGCAGTTTTCGTGCAACTCGGAGAAGAAAAAAATCTACACGATTGAATAATTAATTAGCAAAGAAACACGTCTATTCGAAGTTCAGCAACCTTGAACCGGTAATGTGCGCTGCTTTTCTGTTTTATAATTATGTGCCGAAAACATTTTCTCTTCAATTTTATAATGTTTTGCTGTAAGATAGTTTTTGATAAATTAATATTCTATTCTACAAATATATGTATATCATTAAAAAAAATCATTTTCTGCTATCTTTATTTCCGGCACTTAGCATGTCTATATAATCCTTTTAAGATCATTTTATCGTTAGCAAAGGTAATGAACAGTACAACGTCTAATTAAAAACAGATTGAAAAAGACGAGAATCAATTAACCGAATAAGAATTTCTTATTTGTGGAGAAGATTAAAAGAACTTAATAAGATAAATAAAGATGTTCCGCGTATAGGTGGAATTAGATAAAGAATGTTAAATTCACGTTGCTGTGGAATAATTAACTAGACATTTCGTCCATCGCACATAGTTCACGGATTAAATGAGAAAGTTTCTCTCTTGCCTTTACTTTTGCTCAAGGGAAATTACACACCGAAACTGTAAGAAGACTCGTATTTTTGCGTGTCATACTGAGTTTATGTTGTTTACATGAGTCTTATTACCAAGTGATCCCGTGGGCAGTGCTGATAGAGTTACGTAAAGAACACTATTTAAATAAGTGAACATTAACTAGGGAATAATAAATTCCACTCAGACGGTGGAAGTATAAAGGAATTTCTAATTACAGAACAAATAATGAGATCGAGTAAGTCAGTCAACTCAATCAAGTACAAAAAGAAAAAAAGCAAAAGCACTTAAATAAATATTATTTGCAATAGCAATGTGCATTCTGTCTACAAATTGTGCAAATTTAATAAATTTTAATATATGTTTTAATATAAAAATACTAATTATTTGCGTCATTAACACAGTGCATAAAACATTAAATTACGTACACGAGTGTATTAGTTTTAACGCAATCAGAAATGGAAATTCATGGAAATATAGTTCGCGAAATAATATTAGCTGAAGTTTCGTGAGAATGCAACAGACTCATCTTGCTTGAATACAGATTAATAGGGATTTAGGGCAACCTCTAAGATGCATCGCAGACATCGGATTATCGAACTCGGGAGTCTTGTTATCGTCGGAGAGCCCTTTCGCCAACCAAAGTTCCGCCGTTCTTAGCCAGTCGTCAACCGACCAAGAGCGGCTCTCTACTCAATGAATGATTTCCGCGCGACGTTGCCACGTTACGTCTGCATTCTGCACCTATTACTGCATCGGACATGCTATCGTGCCTTTTTCTCCCATTCGCTCGAAGCACGGATCGCACGCGTTGCGTAACGCATCTGACGTATTTATTGTTTCGTACTAATGAAGCGATCTCATGATGCACTAGAATAAGAATCGATTTCATCAACGTTGATTAACGCCACAATTGCAATTTAACTCGTCGCTAATCTATTTCTAATTTTAGTATTAATCATAGCACAGAAGAAAAGATTCAAGTTAAAAGACAGAAGTGCAACACTTTTCAATTAAGATAAATATTCGTGCTTCTCACATGCAACGTTTAAATGGAAATTATTTGATAGTACGGTTGGTATGTTAAAAAAGAGTTGCAGACAAAAACTAACATTTCGAAATAAATTCTGTCTACGTAGTTACTATCGTGTACCAAGTGTACAGGAATGATTGATCATCACTACGCGACCCGCACACGTGATTCAGTTACAACGTAGTACTAGGCGCGGCCGCCACGATGTTCCATCGCGACGCACCTCGAGAAAATTCTCAGTAGAGAAACAAAAAAAGGTGAAAGGGCCTGAGCGCGTGCCTGTCGTGCCGGAAAGACCGATTAAAAGATAGCGATTAAAATCTAGTCGGAGAGAGAGATAAAGGAAATGGAATCTCAAAAGCTTACAAAAAAAGAGGTTCAAGTAGTTAAAACAAAATGAAGAAGTTGAAACAAATTAGGAGCATCCGTAAAATTGAAAATTTTTCTGCGCGGCATTTTGATTTAATTATATAATTTTTGTAACTTGAAAAAGTAAAAACATATTTTTTATTAAAACTTCCATTAAATCTGTAAATTTGTATTAATTAAAATATACAATTAAAATTAATTGAAACATTATTCCTACATTTGTTTTAGCAATTATTGATCATGTGTAATTATCTCATTGCTTTATTTATATAATTTTATTATTTTATATTAAATCATATTTCAAAAAAAACATAGTGGCAAACTAAAAAAGATAAAAAGACAAAAGTGTTCGTTATCATTTTAGACACTCAATTACTATCGTCAGCTTCCACTCTCGAAATGCGATTATCACAATTCATTTTATGACTGATTGATAATTATATAATTATCGCCGAATGATTAATCATTAATACAATCATTAATACAGTACAAGAACCATGAAACTTTACCTCTATTATCGATTGATTATCTCTCTTAATGGACATGGCAAATATTGATCTCGAAACCGTGCGATAATATTTGATCTGACAGTTCCGGCCGAGAAAGATCACACGCGTTTCTTATCGGCTACAGTAATATCTGTACATAAGAGGTTTGCATTACGGATTGAGATATTGGAAGAGTTCAGGCAGAGATTTATTACGGTTAGCTTCCTGCGTGACGCAAACGTAGAACCGAGGATCGGATTGCCGGGCAATTATGTTGTACTAACATGTACTAACGAAGTAACGAAGGTAACGGGAACATTAGTGCATTATTTTTTGCATACGATATTTTCTCTTATGCACGTATAACTTGTCTGCATGCAATAATATATATTATGCCACAATAAACGTCGCATATCGACTTTCTACAAAACTATAAGCTATTTCACACCTGAATTATCTATTCTCCCTTCCGCGTTCTCTTGCGTTTCCCAAAGGGAATAAAACGTTATTTCCACGAGACAATAAAGGGCCGCGCGCATTCGCACACACAGGAAGAGCGGAGAGAGAGGGGAAAAGCAGAACTACCGGCGCCACGTCGTACCGCCTCCCTTTGTCCCTTTTTTTTCGCACAACGACCGACGACCTCACGAGATACCAGTCGCGATAGGCCCGCTGTAGGCTCGACGTAAAGCAAACGCGGAGAGATACGGGAAATTTCCCCGGATATACCGGATGTTTGAGTAGGAATTATCTTAGTCGCCGGACGATATTTAAAATTTAAATCTCATAATATTGACCTTTTCTCCCGAGACAACCGTGTAGGCGGTAGACGCATCGCTCGCTCGCTCGCACGCACGCAGGCAGGCAGGCAGGCAGGCCACACACGCTACGCACGCGGAGTTTGTTTACAAGCCGTGCCTCTCGCGTCCGCTACCGGAGTTCCTTGACTCGAAGTGAGACACAGCGAGGTGGGTCTCCACCTTGCACACGTCGCGCACGCTTCCATCTCCGTCTTTCCCTTCGCCGTCCTTGCTGGACTTACCGCTCGCGCTTCCCCGCATACCCCCGCATCTACCTTTCGACGTTACCCTTCGCTGTGTGTCGATTACCTGGATTCATCGCTGCCTCACCTATCACTCGAGTGGCGACTGAAACCACGCGACTGTGCGGCGCTCGCCGATTCTCAGCCATGTCGCGTCACTCGTAAATCACGCAGTTGTCGACAATGGAAACGAATCGCCGGCAATTATCGCCCGAATAATCGAAACGCGGTGGCGATCGGTGCGGCTCGTCGTCACCTGTTAACTCTTTCAACACCATGAACTCTCTCTTTTCCTCTAGTGGACCTTACCCATACGAGGGAGTATCACGCCGCTGAATTCGTTGGTTTATTTGGACTGGGTATCGAAGCGATAAACTGTACGCTCGCGTAGGAACTGATCGAGTGGCGCAAAGCGATGAAATTCACTTTAATGTTCAGTGAAAAAAACCGATCAATGAGTTTATGTTCCATGAATTTTAGGAATCTCATGTTTGCGTTTCCATGAAAAATATCAGTTTTTACCGATTAACCACTTGACCTACACGCTTTCTTCCGATTGCTCGGGCCATAGTAAACATAGTAAACAGGAAGGTCGGTCGCGCGTTGAAGTACCACGAGTCAGACTCGTGCTTATTGCTTAGGGACCAAATTCCTTACCACGAGTCTTACTCGTGGTTGTAGGCCAAAGGGTTAAAGATTCTATAAACGTAGCTGATGTGCATTGAAAAGGTATTAAACTCGAAAAAATTCAAGATCAGAGAAGAATCAATTTTTTCGAATGACAAAACTGCGAAATGCGTCCCATCATTACGCTTTGATTCAACAACAATCTTTAAATATGTTGAAATAATATTCATTAATATATAAAATACGATGTGACGAAATGCCACCGCGCTATAATCATTTCCAATATCATTGTAAGAGGACAGAACAAAACACGGCAGACTTGACTTTGACTGTTGTAGATAAATGAGACCATTCTCGCTGCATGGTAGAATACTGCAAAACCGGATCTCGACCGAGAAGAATACCTTGTCCGATTGTCCGTGCGTTCAATCCATCCACACGGATGCGCAGAGCAAACCAACACAGCAAAAACGCTCTCATTCCAATAAAGCTACACGAATATCACTTTACATCGCGTTATCATTTAGCGTGACTCATTTCATGTGAAAATCGTTATTAAATTCTGTCACACATAATAATAGCTGCTAGAGATTATATGCTGGCAATATTTCTCTATAATTATTAACCTTTTTCCAAAGGTAACATTCTAGCATTTTTTTATTACTACTTAATTATATATTATTTAGATTACGCCAATTGTTATATAATATTCATTTTCCTGGTATTATTAATATACGTCAACGTTTGGTGTTGAATTATGGATGGCCAAAAGCTAACCTCGCAATTTTTCGCTACGCAGTTCCTCCGAGTCGTTGATGACTCGACATGTTCACTGAGACTCACCTATCACCGTATTCGCCGCCACTTCCTTGGCAGCGGCCGCAGCTGCTGCCGGTCCATGCGCCAAAAAATCACTCAGAGACAAGGACGACGCGATGATCTGCCGTTTCTCCTCGAAGTTGAGATAGTCCAGACTATTACTGCGCTGCGGCGCCGTCACGATCGTCACCGTCTTCGTCGTCGAGTGATGATGATGGTGGTGCTGCTGCTGATGGTGTAGATTGCCATCCACGGCCAAGTTGCCGCCTTTGTCGTTACCGCCATTATCGTTGGAGCCCGGGCTGGTGGGCACCAAATAGACACCGCTCACGCGGATGGACATTGCACTCGACGCGGCCCGGTGTTGATCCTTGCAGCGACCCCGTCTCTTTCGACGCCACGGGCTGAGGATCGCTACGAGAGCCGGCAACGGAGCTACCGGGTGGCCGACGCGGCGAGCATCCCGGTGTACACCTGCTCGAGGGGTCGGCGGCGGCAGTGGCTCGCGTCGTCGTTCGACACTTCTCGTTCGCGACTCCACGGCTTGAGGGTAAGATTGGCGCGGCTCCCACGTGCTCGGCGTCGATCCCCAAAAAGGCCCGAGCGCGCTCGTCGCTCTCGAACTTTATCGAGAGTTATCGATCGGCCGGGCGAGCGCGCATCTGATCGTCGCGCGCGCGGCAAAGAGACGCGCTTATTCCGGTGATGTGTTCCAGCCTCCCACTTGTAAAATTCGCGCTGAGAATGTGTACAGCGTCTTCTCGAGCGTCGTTTAAGAGTGCGGTTATTACATCGGACAAATGACGCTCTTGTTATCGGCTGCTTAATTACTCGCACCAGTTGCACGCTAAATCGATTATCCTGCGCGTTCCAGACAGAGATTTCTCCTTGGAGCAACTTCGTTATTCTTATTCGTAACTATGGCACTGATCACTTTGATAGAGTCTACAGAACGTACGAAAAATCGTCTGAGCCGAGACCGGCTTCACGGAGAATCACTGGCTATTTACAACGGAATTCCTCGCGATTGGCACACACTATGGAAAATTACTCGCACGGAGGAGAACCGCGAGAGCGACTGCCGACGTTGATGACTGGAGGAGAGGCACGTCCCTGCGCATCAGCGAATGAGGAAAAGTTAAAACTACCGAAGCCACTGCCCGACCGTCATGAATGGCGCGCATTGTGTTCGTTCGCGAACGCCCGATGATTATACAACAAGCGGCGAGTCAAACAATTTTCTTTCGAAATTGTGTCGGAAAATTGTAGTAATCAGTACATGACACGTTTATGTGAAAAATGATAAATCAAATTTCTGTTTTAATAAAGATAGCAAAGCAGTGAATTGTCGATAAGAAATTTAGCATTAACACTTGATAATACGTCGACGTTAAATAGTTAAGTTATTGATAGTATAACGTATGCGTGTGTGAGAGCTTATCTGCCAAAATTCAATACGAGTTGTTTAAATATATAATATATAATTTTTAAACAAGTAATTTTGATAAACTAAATTGTAATAGAATTAATTGAAATCGAAACTTGTTCTTCCTTCTCCAAACCGACCGAGACTGTATCTCGCCCAGAATTTTGTGAGATGCAGATCAAGATCGAAGAAAATTTTCCGCGTGCAACTCGACGGAAATGTGCATTTTCCGAGGCTGAGTGCATCCGGTGATATTGGATCGCACTGTTCCGCGTTCTGTGGAGGATATCAAAGCTGCTGCTTTCCGTGCAATATGAAACGCCGACCATCGATATTTAATTACTTCGACACGATTTACGGCCAGATTTATGAACGATAAAATTATTTCGAAGGATAAACCGACTGGACGCGATAATAAAAATGTGATGAAATAGAATTATAACTTTATTCGACGCAAGAGTGTAAAAATAAGAATCGATTTCTTCTTTTAGCAACATCGCTATTGTTTAATTTTTTATATAAATACGCGATCTCTTTTGCACGGTTATATATGGAGTGTTAAATTTCTATTATTATATGTCATCTCTGATGAAAGTGAATTATAATGCTGCACAATACATATAGCATTTCATAAACAGAATCCTATTTACGCGAGTTATTTTCATATTACGTCATTTTGTTACATTTAATTAATTAACCACGCCTTGATACTTAATTTAGAAAATTAAAATTGTTCGGACAAAAATAAACCACTTCATTAATGAAAAAAATATATATATTGGCCAAGATCAAATTTTCTACGTCTCGCGTTTTGCTCTGATATTCAACGGAAAATTAGGCATCTCGATTATTAATGAGCGAACGGAAATTTCCATCAGCAGAAGCAATCACTTACTTTAATACACTAAACACAATCACCACTTAGCACAAATGTTTCTTCCGTTTAAGAAAACAACTTTGCGTGCTCTCGTGCCAGACGACGGAAGGCAAACTTGGAGCTCGAGAATCACGTAAAAGAGCGTCCATTCACGAAGCGGACAACCGACTGACTAACCTCCAAGGACAAACATCATCGGCGATACGAGGGCGTGCTGTAATTCGCCCTCGATACACGCGCAATAATTTTCTTCGTCTCGTGCTCCCGAGTTCTCACACACGCATACGTAATGAGCGAACGAACACACGGTGGTGACGAAGAGACGCGGAACTGAGCGGATCGCGTATGTATACGTACTCAAACGACGACGGGCAGTGGAGGGCTCGTTTTCTCGGCAGTATTCGGGAAGGATCATCGAGGCGCAGCCAGCGGCCCGATGTTATATCACAGAGAGGCAGGCGTCGGCTTCTCCTCTGCTGCTTCCACGGGACACCTGTCCGCGTTAGGCCGTGAGGAGCGCAGGTGAGAGGAGAGCGAGACAGCGATAGAGAGGACGCAACGATCGTAAACACACGGGAGCGGCGCGTAGTATTTCGACTCCGGGGGGCACAACGTACGTAAATTTATTCGACGCCGTGGGTAATGCGAGAGGGCGACAGAGAATCGGAGCGCGAGAATCGGAGTCGGACAGAGTCACGCGAAGAAATAGAAACCGAGAGCGAGACGGAGAGATGGCGACGGAGGGAATGAGATTCCAGGGATCTTCCTCGTCGTCGACGGCGACGGCGACGACAACGTCAGTTTACACACACGGGAGCGATGCACACTGTCACGCACACTGTCACGCGGATACGCGCCGCGCGAGCGACACAAACTCAACTAACGCCGCCACCGTTGCTGCTGTTGCTTCTTCCTTCTGCTCACGCGAGAGAGAGAGGGAGAAAGAGAGAGAAAGAGAGTGATTGTCCAACGGCGGAGGAGCGCGACGGGACGGCCGTCGTGTCAGATGGGACGGATTCGCGAACGGAATTAATTGCGTACGCGCGCAGACGGCCGACGATGTGCAAAACAAGCGGCCGGAGAGACAAGGAACGACGGTAACGGCGACGACGACGCCGACACGAAACACACACCGAGCGAGGCTCGCGAGTACTGAGGGCGGCCATGCGATCACAGCGCCCTCTCGCGCCCAAAGCGGCTGCCAGTGAGCACGAGACGACGACGGCAGTGGCGGCAACCGGCTACCGAGACGAGACGCTGAGATGCGGGGTGCGGTGAAAGTGTATAGCGTGTTCGCCGTAACTCTCGCCCAATTAACGTGTTGCTCGCGCCGGCTTGGCGCGCGCGCGAGCGTACCCCTCGTATTACACCCAGGGATCCTAACGATCATGACCGTGTGAAAAATTTTTTTTCTAGACGAGGGCGGTTCGTTATAATTTAAGCTGTACAAAATGCAGACGTCGTAAACGCCGAGAGTAAAAATTATTGCTGCGTGCACGAACGAGCAGCGGTTGTAAATTATTCTTTCCTTAAATTGAGATTTAGCATAAATATTCTTTAAGTAGACTGAATTAATTCAAACGTCGAGCCTACTAATTTCAAGGTGAAAATCTTCCGTGTTTGAATATAACGTCGAAATCGATTCGACTTTTGTTTGAGACATTATAATTGAGAATTGAATATTCTATTCTAAATGCCTTAAATTGTGCTAATACCTTCATACATGATTGAAACGTACGCCTTGAAAATTTTTACCTATCTATAAAGTTGTTTCAGTCAAATTTAATGTAACTTAAAAGTTACAAGCGATTTCTCATATCTAATATTTTAATAAATATATGGCTGTAGCTTCTAATTCACAGTTTTAAATATTGAATTCTCTCTTTTGTCTGCCTACACAATGAGTATTGATTGAATAAAGTTTCCAGTTAGAAGCTAATAGGTACATGACGAATAGCAAGCGAAAGTTTGCTATATATCAGTCTCATACGCTTTCTTAAGTGCACACACGTATATGAAGTCATGCGTAAGTCTCGCAGATGTAAAAGTGACAATCGTGGGTGTGGCGAACACGAGCCAGTAGTAGATTGGCGAAATAGAGAAGGATGACGTGAACATCAACATAGTACATCCATCGTAATTCCGACCAAATATACGAACCGGTCAAATATACGAACAATGAGATTATTTTTTTTTAAACTATAAATTCAAACTGTGTATTATGTAACTTACAGTAATGTAGACCGAAGACTGATGATCAGTTAAATAGCGAACCAAAGATTATTCCAATCTATTTAAAGTATATAGGTACATACCTGAAACAGAAATAAAATTTTTTATTAGATTACGTTATTGTAAAAAAGATATTATATTTTTTCTTCATCTAGGCATTTAATTTTTAATTAATTTATTGTAAATATAAAACAATTCCTGCGTTTTCCATTATTTTTAATTAATGTACTGTTAAGGTAGTTGTTTTATAAAGTAAATTTCTTACAAATTGATCCAAATGTTCACTATATTTTTATTGAAGTAATATCTAAGTGGTCTTGCAATAAAAAAATTTACCGTTCAGAAGCTGAGATAATTGCAATTGTAATTAGTACTTTTAACACGTGTTGTATCATACACCATACTAAGGTTAACGTCATATTTTTAATTTTATCTTGAAAACTACATTTAAGACCTGAAAAATAATGAGCATGCAGAAGACAAATATATGAACATTAAAAAAACAGTATTATTGACCGTTTAGTTTCAACAATATAATCGTAAGAAGTATACGATTTTTAATATTTTTTGACGGATAAAAAACTCAGCAGTAAGATGCGAATCACAATATATAATTCTTACATGTGTAAGTGCGTAATGTGGACAAACCAAATCAAAAGTTTACTCTAGCAAGCGCAAGAAATTAATTTATTAACTACTTTGAAATTATTATTAAACTGTCGATTGATTCTTTTTAGTAATAAATTGTTCGTATAACAAATTGAATAATATGCAATGATATATCTAAACTATTATTTGAGTTTTTCTTAAAGAAAGACTTAATTTTTAGATCATACTGTCGCGAGACAACTATCTTAATAGGAAATAATAATAGCATAAAGATTTCTGCAGAGTTTTGCTTGTAAGTTATATTAAAGCAACTTATAATTAGCATTAAACCCAACAGAAATAGATGCAGGAAACATCATTGAAGCCATTGTTGATAAGCAGTAAGTCAAGAATATCACGGCGCGCAGTATTTTTACAACAGCGCGGTTACCGACAAGTTAAGCACATTTATTTCATGTATGGTTAGATTGCACACAGTGCAAGCTAAGCTTTATTTTTGAAAGCTGTCGAGCCACGTTGCGAGGATCCAGACGGATCTTGGAAGGCGGTGGGCGGATATGCCGAAGCGCGAATATTCGAACTAGAAGACAGCGGATGCAGTGTGACGCTCGCCACCACGTGGTATTTCCGAAGCGTCTAGACTTACTAATTTAAACCGACTCGCGAATCGCTACCACTACATTTCACCTCGGTCTGGCCGCTGTCACAACTAAGGCCTGAAATATGAGGAACATTTCGCCGTTTATGTGTGCGAGGAACGGACCGAGTATCATTCTTGAAGGTCGCTGGTTTGAAAGTATTCATGTTACATGATGTGCAAATGCACATCAATGGCAGGAAAGGCAATCGATCTATGAACCTACATCTTAAGCTTGTTAGATTGCGAATTTTCAGATCTTGAACTCTTAAATGCATAATGCATTAGGCTGTGCTGATGTATGCAACACCTGAAACATCTTTTCTGAGAAATTGCCGTGCTCCTTCCATTAATCCAAGTGTCTTCTAATAGAGCGTAGCGCTTTTTAATCAATGTGCAACACGAATAATATATTATATTACGCATTCGTATAAAAGCAAAAATTTTGCATATTTATATGTAAATGTAATATTAGGTCGGTTCCTGATCTTTATCTCTTTCGCATCCGTAACGTCTGCAACATCTTATCGTAGCTGCGAGGTATCGTGAGCGCAAGCTTTGTACACGTTTACATCACTAACGGTATATAAGACCAGGTTATTTAGAAATTAGTAATTATTATACATATTAAAAGAATTGCAGAGAACATTACGTGTGCGCCATGGACGTCCTACTGCGACATTATATACAGAAAACTTCTTTCCTTCTCATGTTTTTGCAACTTGCTACGCGTCTTTCTAAATTTTGCTGTCATATTATCGTAATTTCCAAATAAATAATATAGTTAGAAAAATGATTGTGTTGTAGATACAATAACATGCCCGATTACTGCGATATTACTGAATTTTTCGTTAAAAATGTATACGTTTCATCCTGCAAATAACTCTTTCATTAGACTTAAAATTCATCAACTTGTTCATTACATAAATCAATAGGTCAATATCACAACACAAAATATTGCATTGTATCTCAGTTCAGCGATCAAAGAACCCTCGATTTCGGTATCGGCGCAATGATGGAGGTCTGCTCGTAAAGTTAAGCGAACTATAAACTGTCCTCTGACCCGTCTCATCGATCGCAATAAATTAAGGTCAATCTACATATTCCTGAAAAACTGCAATCTCTCAGCGAAGGACTTTATTACGTTCAGTACCTGGAAAGTTCTCTGCTGGATACAGAGAACTCTTTGTAGAATTCAACGTAACGATGCGAAAATAGAGATGCGAAAATTTCGACGCAAATATTAAATGTTCATTATATGTTCATTATACTCACGCTATATTTGTCACAGTATCAGATAAATTATTACTTATGATCGATATAATTGTACAGTTTGAAGAAACTAATAACGTACATTGTTTTGCAGAAATTAATCGATCTATCAATCCGTGGATAGCTACACGCGATTCAATATAAAGTTCCGAGAACTCCTCATGGTCAAACATCCATTTGAACATATTATTAATTGCAATAAGGAACGAATGTCTCTCAGCTGACCCGAATTACGAGACAATTTGCTGTTAAACGATGGAGACGTGTAATTAAAGCGAAGTGACAGTGCATCAGCGACAACCACAAGCGTCTTGAGTATATGGTGTCGCATTTACGCGGTCCGGCATGCTTTCACGCTCTCACATTAAATGCAGCTACTTACGAGACACGTGCAAATTACACACGAGACAGAAATATCATCCGTGTAAGAAAGATCCTTTCCCGAAATCGCGTCTGAAGAATAGCCACTTTGAACGATGTTATTTACCGTTTGTAAAATACAGGTTTAACAATTCATGCAAGCTTTGCTATAACATGAGTGTACATGCTGGTATTATTGAACGGTATATTATAATAATATATTTTAATTTCCTTACGACGCTCAAGATTTAAACATTTGCTTCACCTTGAAGGTATGAGAAAAGAAATTAACATCGCTTTTATAAAATTTAAAATCAATATGTAGATCATCAATTTATTGTTAGTAAAACATGTAAAACACTAAAAAACGACTAATGCTTTTTTTCAAAACGTTCTTTGCTAACACACAAATTAAAATATTAAAAGTTATTGCACTTATTATTCAATTTAATAATTAAAAATAAAATGTTTGGCACTCTTAGTCCCTCTGCAGCATGTCATTACTGCTCGGGGTGGAAATGCCATTATTTCTCTACCTTTGAGGATTGAACCACGTCTTTAAGATGCGAAAGGCGCGGTGTTATAGTCCTCAAAGGAGCAAGAGAAAAAAACCCTACTCCGAGTAGAGACGACGAACGGTGCGCGCAAGCAGCTACCCATCACCCATCTTTCTGTGAGTCCCGATTATAAAGTTGCTTTACTGAGAGAAACCATGCAGAGTGGATAGACTAAACATGCTACACTGCGCATAAAGATTGTTTGTTTGCCAACTAATCACTGAGATTCAAAATAATCGACAACTTATAATTAACAATTTAATAAAAAAAAAATTAAAATATTAAAACATTTATTTTGTTTAAAAATGTACATTTACTGAAATCAATAACTTATTCTATTTTTTATTAGAAAATAATTACAAAAATCGAATCTGCCTTTGTATTCAACGAAATAACATAAACTGTATAAAAATATTACTATAGTGTATTCAGAATATAACAATAAGATAAGCAATAATGTACAAATATAAACCGATATAAGTTTAAAATCGCGTGAGAGGTTTAGGATAACCAAGACTGTCGCATAACCATTAAATTGTGGCTAACCGTCCGGATAAGATGTTGTTCG